ACACTGGAATTTAATGTACTTCTTATAATAATAGTATATTAAGTAAAATAGTTTCACTTTGTTTCTCCTTGCATGAAACTAAAATACTTGAAAATAATAGAATATGGTCGACGATTCTAAGATAATAATCTTACGTTTCGTCTTTAAAAAGTAAATTTTTAAATTCAGATTTTAAGGGAGACAAAGTCCAATGATGGACAAATCTCAGGACTTTAATAAGTTCTGAACTTGCGAACAAGTGCGACGAAACTTGGCAAGAATATCGGTCCATTAACGTACTGCATAATGGGAGGTTTCTGCAGGATTTTGGAGATTTTTTTTTCAAGATTTCGAGAAGTGCTTCAAATAAAAATTTTTGGTACTGCTGTCACCTGCAATAATGATCAATTTCGTTCATCGTCAAATGCTTTTTAACGAGTGGAATTAGAAGGAAATGGCATAGGACCGTATTTGTAGCTGACAAATATAGCTACAATCAATTTATAAATTCTTATATCTATCCTGAAAGCTTTTTAACGTTTAGGTATCGTTTTATATTCATTTCTCGTGCTGTTATGGACAGCAAGGAGCGGAGATTCCCGCGAATGTGATCTTCCGTTGACGAAAATGTCACGGAACTCTTTACACGAGTTTTTTTTATTCACGAGCCGGTGAATAAATGAGAAATCGAGCGGGAGGGAACGCCGTGCGTGGAAAAATCGCGGGTGGAAGTATGATAGCCGCGCAAGCCGTTGTCAAGTTTAAATCGAAAACAGTTCCGCGCTGTTTCGATAGCGAAACACGTTGCGCGAATTTTATTTAGAATCTTCCCGTCGTTATACGAGCATTTTTCCAGTCGTAAATCCATCCTCCCTGTACACAGTCATCTTTTTTTATTCGGCTTACAGCTTATCAAAACTTTCGTTTAATAATCGTATTCACGTTCATACAGATCGATCTGCAAATTACAGATTTTCTATTAAATTTCTGATCAATCTAAAGACATTGGGAAAATGTTGTTTCTATTGAACATTGAACATGCAGGTCGTACCCGGCGCTCTCGATTAAGATAGTAAATTCCCGTGAAAATCAAGTATGCGAACATGCAGGCATTTTGTATATTGTGCGGAACTGGTACTTGTATGTTCATATTTCCGTCATACACTTATTCCTTGAAATATTCAGATACCGGCGAGCATCATGCTGAGAATTTTGAAACAACCCCTGGTCTTTTTGTTACACTTTCCTTTCCTTTGGTATTGCATGCATGAATACATAAAGACTACTATAGCAATTATATACTTCTCACGTTTTTCGGCATTGAGAGAAAGAAAGAAACGAGAACGTAGGAAGTTGCATCTATCTAGTTCATGACACTCCCTTAAGAGCCATGAGTTTTAATAATAAAAATAGATCATTCGTTATTTCGATAATGGCAAAAGAAACTCCTCATACTCTTCATTTGCACGTATGAGATTTCTCACATTAACGAATTTCACGATACATTGCCCATACTTGACATTAATTTTTATAATCTTTCTTCTTAATATGAATTTATTAAATTCACTGACAAATCATATTTGACAACGACGGTTCGTTGCGAAACTAATGGATAGCTCGCATGTACCCCCCTCGACGTTTCAACCCTTGTGCGGTATGCGAACATACTATGTCATTGCTTTCTACCGGGTCATCGAATGTGCTTATTACGTTGATTAGAGACGTCATAGCCGCGTAATTCCAGGTTAACTTTCATTTACCCCATTTCGAGCGACCGCAGCGGCCAGCTTCTCTTAATGTAATTATTGCCCTTGAAACAGGGCTCTACAGGCCGCAGCTTGCAATCGACAACTGATGATTATACGTTCCCGATTCCATTTCCTTTTAAAACTGAAAAATGCATCATATTTTCATGGCTGTTCGCTGTTACTAGTATTATTTTTTCTACAGCTTCTTAAGAAGCCCAGTTCTTCAATCGCTTATACGCATACAATAAATATCCTCCCCTATTTTCTTTCATTATAATACTATTATTTCCTTACTTATTCCAAGTTTTTTCCACATAATTGTATCGACGAAGTGCTCTTGATTTTACTATTATCAAGGTGAAATCTTTTGCATATTTGGAACACGCGAAGTAAATAGTACGTGTCGATGATACGACGACGTACTTGGAAAGTCCGAACGAGAAAGAAGGATGAGAAAGAGCAGTAGTGAAATGTGACGAGAACGGTGTGAAACTCGTGAACAGTAAAATCGCATTGTGTCGAACAATGCTTCTCTCTGTCTCTCAATATTTCGTCGATCGAAAAATCCTAAGGTCCCATTTCCACGTATCGACGCTCTTCCTTGAGCCCAGAGGAATGAATTCGGAAGAGCCGGAAGGGCGTAACGTCCACGGCGGATCAGCGACGTTCCGTCGCGTCGTTCCGCTGTCCGAGGAACCCGTTGGAAACGGCATAAGCACCGGCGGAAGAGAACCGTGGAGATCGAGACGCGGTGCGGCGGCAGTAAACCTACTAGGCGTACGTTTTGATGGCAGACAGCGGTAGCGAGCCGCCGGTGGACGAGGGGTCGCGCGGAGGGATCTGGTCGGAGGGAAGGTTTGGATACCTTGTCGAGGATAGGCTGCCGGTGCAAGTAGGTTTAATATTTGATACCGCGGGCTGGTCATCCTGCCGAGGCGATAACACAGGCCCCGCGGGAACCTTCCGCCCAACATCCCTCGGAAAACGACTGCCGCCAAACTCGCAACCATCCCGACCAAACCCTCCCACCGCACCCTATCTTCCTCCTCGCCGCTTTACGTTTCACCACCGCTTCCTCTTCCATCGTACGCGCGGTTCCATCTCATGTGTATCCGCCACCGCCGCTGCCCTGTACCGTCCTGTCCTCTCCTGTACCGTCCCGTCCTCTCGTTTCCTTTTCGTCCTCCCTTCGTTGCGTTCCGACCTGTCTGCCCGCGCGACCACACCGCCGCCACTCTTCTCCCATTACCGCTTCTCCTTTTTACACCGGATCAACGATTGTCCCCCGTTCGACCCACGAACGAACCTCGTTCTTAAGTGTCTCTTCAACGTGCACGTTCCAGGGGGAAACTGTGTACACTTCCCTTTTTCTCCTTGTTTTTGTCTTCCATAGTACCGTTTTTGTCTTCCAACTATTTGTCCGAATCGCTTGAATCGACGTCGTCATTATACGAGATTTCCTTTCTATACATCATTTTTCAGGAATCCTTCAGAAATCGTAACTATCATGAACGTAAAGGAAAACAACTGAAGCTTCAATTAATAAAAAGTCAGATGAGCGTTGAACAACTTTTGTTGAACTCACTACGCTTACTACGTTTGTATATCGTAATCGGATTCTTGGATTTTTATCAGACGGGGGCAGAGAAAGAAAGAAAGGGAATGGCAAAATCAACTTTTGTGTTGGTCAGTTGGATTGAAACCCGGGAGTCAAGAATGGCGTGAAACGGCTTTATTCGTTTATTGGATCGACGAAAGTCCCGGTGCCTTGTGGGAGCAACAGAGGGGATCTGGGTTACGAAGGGTCCATGACACCTTAAAAATTCATTATGAAATAGCTCACACAAATCTGCACTTACTAGGAAGACACGACCGATCAAATGGCAGCACAGCTGATCGTTAAAATGCTCTCGGTCGTCTACTTCCAAGATACACGCGCGTGCCAGTCCCATGATTATTAACGACGTTAAGAAATTTCAAGGCTGAGAATATCGGAAGTAAATAAAATCATCTGAACCGTTTCAATTATTGTATCCTAAAATACGTGCGATTTGCCTACGCGTTCCTCGATTATTTTTGTTCAAATAATCCATGAGACAAACGCCGGCGATTGCTGGGCCGGATAGCAATAGAAATATTGAAGAAGGTATACATGACGTACAGTGGATTATTCATGTAACATTATTTACGCGCAATAGGAAAGACTACTTCTAAATAGTGATGACTCGAAACGAGGCTGGTTGACCACAGCCGAACGGCAACACGGAAAAATCGATTATTCTCTGGAATAATGTATACAGTTTTTTAAAAAAACAACCTGCATTGGATAGGAAATGGACATAGTATGACCGGCGAAATTATTTAGTTACACTATCGGCCGAAACAGTGACGATCCCAGTGAACGTATCTGCATAAAATATTAATTTTGTTTGTCAACACATTTTCAACACTTGTACATATAACTTCAGTGCGACGGTCTTAAATAAGAGTTCTACTGTCACATTGAAATGGCGATACATCTACTTTCGATTGATGAACGATGCAAGATAGCGTAACGATAGAAGTACAACGCGAGGAAGAGCGTTGATTCATAATTTTTAAGATATCGGAGATAAACGGTGGAACGGGAGAACGACGGTGTCGGTGGCAGCGACCTTGGTATTAAGTGCGACCGAGGCCGATCAGTTTACGACGCAGGTACTGATCCAACGGTAGCGGCGTTGGCAGTGGCGACAGCCAAGCGAGAGATTTCGCGGTGGTCGAACAAAAGCACGACGCGAGGGAAGAAAAGTAGGTAGACGACACGAGGCGTCTTCGACGAGACAAGGTTGCGCGGGGCAAGGTTCACCGGAGACTCGGGGGGTGGCTCGGGGTTGGCCGGGTAGGACGTGTATCGCGGGTGGGAGAACGGAAAAGAGGACGCGAAACGGGATCGCGGGGGTCGAAAGAGGAAACGAGGTGGACCAGGGAGGGTGAAACGAGGGAGGGACGGACGAGAGGGTGGTCTTGGTTAGCGACACCCATGCTGAACACGGAAGCGAAGCCAAAGATGGCCGACGAGAATCGCGTCGGAGGCGCAAGCGTAAGGGTGGCAAACCCCGCCTACGCTCGACGTACATACTACCCCTCTGTTCCGGTCGTTCTCTGGCCACCCCGTTGCGAACGACCCCTCCGCTCGGAAGCACGCGCCGCTCCGCGAATCTCTTGGATCATCGGCCACCCCCCGTCCCGACGTTTCCCTCTTCTTCCAACGTTCCCTCCATCCCCCCGGGGAAGAGTTCGTCCACGGAGCACTCTTCGCCGGCCAGTCAGCGCCAAAAAGTGCACAGCTCCAGGACGACATCCGCGCACGTACGCTCGCGCCCGAGCAGCGACGACAGCTCGAAACTGAACGTGAACTGCTTTTTTTTTCGTTTCACCAATCGGTCATCGTGGACGTTCGCCCGGTGGCCGACCACAAGAATCGCCCAACCGTTCGTTCCCGATGTGACGATCCTCGGTCGACGGACCTCGACGAGATCAGCTGCTCCTTGATACTTGGAACCTCGACCGAATTCCTCTCTACCACGTTCCCGACGTGCAGTGCGTATGATCTGGAAATCGAGCGAATCGGTCGGCCGATCGATCGCCGCCATGACTGACACGTAAAGAACGAGACCGTGTGATCAGAGATCCAGCCACCCGTGGTACGCGATAGTGTGCAACATGCGAAGGGATCGACGGTCACCTCGATCGACCGCAGACCAATCGGCGGACTGATCGGTAGTCCGCTCGATGAAACCCAGGATGATGAGTGGTGACTCGTAAACAGAGTGTGATGAGATCGAAATACATTGAAAGCTACTAGATCGACCAAAGTGCTTGCATCCGTGTACGTGAAGGTGATAGTAGTAATCCTAGACTGAGCAACGTGCGGGAGGTACGGACGTTCGTCGTCGGACAGATGCGAACCGCGAACACTGACGCGAAACAAAAGCGCGGCTGCCGCTGGTGGTATCGTTACGTTTGAGGGTGCCGGTTGCCGACCGGTTTCCTCTTGAGCCCGGCAGTTTGGACTTGGCTAGCTGCAGGATGATGTACTCACCGGACAAGATGATGGGGAGCAAGGGGCTCCACGGGGCACCGATTACAGCCCCGGGCTGTTTCCCTTCGGGAAGGTATTCGCCGCCGGCTTATCGAGCCGCACCGGATCCCATGCCGCCACCGCCGCGACGCTGCATGCCCAATCCTACAGTGAGTAATCATTTATCCCGCCTTTTACTCGCATCGTTGCCCTCCGATGCGTAGGAAATCCCATTGATGTCCGATGAAAAGTCTGAAGGTCCTGATGAAAGACCTTTCATAAAAGTGGATCGACTTCTGATAGCTAGATAAGTTTCTGATTATTTGGATCTGATCGTGTTAAGAAAGTAGATGTCAGAGAAAATTGGAAAACAGTCAGTAATAACATTTGCACACGGTCGTTTATTATATCTTAATAATGTGATGCAGGATACGGCTTGAACCGCTTGTAAACGACGGTTGATTCGATTCAACCCAATCGATTATTGCATTTAAAGACCGGATTAAAGTTTCATCGGCATGTGTCGCGCCGAGTCGGTCGATCGGTCTCGTTTCATTATTATTCTGTCACGAGCCGGGCAAGAAATCTGTCGAGTTGGTAACACGTATCAGAGGAGCGCGGGTTAAAGCGCGCGATACATCAGCGCGAAGAACGATGCATTATACATGAAGATCGGTTTGGTCGAAGGAGTTTGATACAGCCGGAATGTAAGGACGCGATAAAAAGAGACATTCGAAGTTGGCGTCATCCATTTTCATTGGCCGCGAGTTTCCCTTGACACATGTATCACACATTCCGTGGATCCCGTCGTTTATCTTGCCGACGCTTAACGCACCCTCCCTGGAACAGTTTCAACTCTTCCTCTGGCCTATCAAGAATCATCGCTGCAATTTTCCTTTCTTTTGGCATAAACTAACGATTTGTATTGAAATTAATAATTCTTGCTCTGTGATAATGTCCAGAATTATTTTTTTAAATGATCTTGAAGACACGGAATGAATCAGGTGAATTAATTTCTACGCCACGAGTCATACAATTGAAAGGTTGTGATCGGATTAAAATGAAACTTGAATTAAATGTTCAGTTCACAATCGTTCGTACATATTTCGTCGATCTTTCTATAAGCAAATAATTATTTTTCCTCGAGCAGCGTTGGTTCAGAGATCCATTGAAGATAAAACGAGCGAATCCAAAAAGAACGCCGAAACTGTTCCTCGTGTACACAAGAAAAAGCTCGCCCTCGGGCATTCGGTCAGCCGTGTCGTTGACGATACTCGTTTCACGGGGTAGCCAACAGCATACAGAAAGCGAAGTAGCCTATCTAAACAAAATCAATCAGAGCTTGATACGTTCCTACTTTTCTTTTCAATTTTATCCATATTACATGACCTCTCCCTGTTTCATAGTATCGAATTCTACGGTTGCACACGAAGTGTACATTTCGCAGGAATTAAAAAAGCGATTAATACAGTATTTATTTTAACGTTCAACTGATTGATAATATCCAAATCAAAAAGGTTCTAATTTACTAAAATTATATTATAGGAATGAAAACCATTTGTGATCAGCGCAGATACATGTTTATTATTTATAGCTGACAATACCGTCGACTTCTCTTATCGATCGATTAAACTGATGAATTATACAATTATTCGTATGCAAAGGAGGATAATAAATTTCGAAGATGCAGAAAAGATTTTATACGAATGTCCCGTACGTCGAACGCTTCGCGATCCAACAATCCCTGTGATCCCTCCGCCGTAGACCCCAACACTCAAGTTTAGTTTATTCATGTGACATAATAGGATAAAAACCGTCTCTGCGAGCCGAATGGATGGATGAGATTACAGTCAGGTTACAGCCAGGTAACGCGAATCCGACGCAATCGTTCCTTTCACTGCGAATTTTGTCGGTCGGTCCTTTCGATACCAATGGCCATCGCGCGTTTTCCACCGCACTGGCTCCTCTTCCGCTACCATCCGATCCGATTCCCGACGACGTTTCAGCTCCGTTTTACGCGCCGGATTCGTCACGGCCGTCGCACCAATATTTAACGAGTCAGTTTCGAGCGAGGAACTCCTTCGACGCGTACACGACTATTTCGACTCTTCGAGGAATCAACACGTTTGAGGCTTCCAAGGGATCATCTTTAGGGAATATCTAGCTGTGTGAAAGATGGACCTGTATCATGTTCTTCCGGTCAGGCTTTGTCACATGCTCTTTGTTCAGTATTTAACTGTCTCAGAAAATATTACATGAAACGAGTATTATTATATATTTAATTTCATTTTTTTTTAAGTCGACGCTTCGTTTTCGTGATTATATGTAAAAGTAATTGACAAATTATTTCAGTTAAACGCGTCTGCTGCGCTTAAAGAATGCATCGGTTCTTAAGCAGAAACATAATAAAATTCTAATTGTCGCTTCATTACTTCTAATAAGCACCTTCTTTTATCTCTTAGTTTTATCTTTAAAGAATTCCAAGGAAATTAATCGTGACAAGCGTTAACGTTATTACGTTAATTGTCCGTAAACATATGAAGCGTGCACATACATCGTGTTAATTATCTAGGATAATTAATAGTTTCCATTACGCGTTCATCGCACCTGGTAATTATTCACGTTTCGATGACCATCGTTTCACACATTTTCCGTATCTTCTGCTTGCTTCCCTCTGTAATATTAATGGAGACGTTTAATAATTAGCGGCGCCGTTTATAGATTATCGGCTCCTTTCGTCTTCACGTGTTTCACGCGTTCACGCGATGAATATTTCCTTTTCGAACATACGACCAATCTTTTCATTCGTCACGTTCTACAATTTTCTATATTAAAGCCACTGAATATTTATCAATTTGTAATATGTACATATGTACGAGTGCCACTGTTCGCTATTCTTTAACTTATATACAATCACTGTAATTTTTTAGCTCATTAATTGTTTCATTATAAAGCAATGTCATTGATTTATAAATTACCTTCTGAGGTGTTGGGACAAACATATACAAAACTTATTACTTCATCATGATGCAACATTCATAAGCCTCCATACTTGGTTAAGCTTTTTACTTTTATAATGAAATTGAATTGAAGGTTCAATTTTAGGATAATCGAAAGAGCACATGAAAAGACAAATCGCGTGTAAAATTGTCGCGAACGAAATGTCGTTGAGAATGCATCGATAAAAGCAAGAAGACACACTCTTGAGGGACTCGATTATTGATTGCCTGGCTACGTTCACCGTGTCATCAGCCATTAACCATTGAAAGTAAACGCTTTCTCTTTCCGACGAGACAGCATCGCAAAACGACGTCGATAGACATTGTATCGGGGAAAACCTATGCACTTTCAATTACGTGATAATTAGATACATATCAATTTTTTATTATAGGTCTTTAATTATTATGAGAACCATTGTAGATCCTTTCTATACTTGAAATTCTAGGGGCTTGAAGAACTGAGGATGATGAACAAAAATTTTAAGAGGAATTATTTAAATGCGATGATGATTGATTTCATAACAATTTTATTATAAATTTATAAAAAGTATAAAACAGAATTATATACAGTCTGTATTATCAATATTTATAAATCGATTCAACAAAGTATCGCTATTCTTTAACTTATATACAATCACTGTAATTTTTTAGCTCATTAATTGTTTCATTATAAAGCAATGTCATTGATTTATAAATTACCTTCTGAGGTGTTGGGACAAACATATACAAAACTTATTACTTCATCATGATGCAACATTCATAAGCCTCCATACTTGGTTAAGCTTTTTACTTTTATAATGAAATTGAATTGAAGGTTCAATTTTAGGATAATCGAAAGAGCACATGAAAAGACAAATCGCGTGTAAAATTGTCGCGAACGAAATGTCGTTGAGAATGCATCGATAAAAGCAAGAAGACACACTCTTGAGGGACTCGATTATTGATTGCCTGGCTACGTTCACCGTGTCATCAGCCATTAACCATTGAAAGTAAACGCTTTCTCTTTCCGACGAGACAGCATCGCAAAACGACGTCGATAGACATTGTATCGGGGAAAACCTATGCACTTTCAATTACGTGATAATTAGATACATATCAATTTTTTATTATAGGTCTTTAATTATTATGAGAACCATTGTAGATCCTTTCTATACTTGAAATTCTAGGGGCTTGAAGAACTGAGGATGATGAACAAAAATTTTAAGAGGAATTATTTAAATGCGATGATGATTGATTTCATAACAATTTTATTATAAATTTATAAAAAGTATAAAACAGAATTATATACAGTCTGTATTATCAATATTTATAAATCGATTCAACAAAGTACTGTGCCAATAAACTCATAACCAATCAGATTATTGTAAATGTTTATTAATATTATAATCAAGCATTCTATTATTCGTTCACGTCGCTTTGTGCTCATATAAAAACAATAAAACATGCAACGCTATTGAATAATCGAAGAACAATAGATTTGACTTGTAATATTCTGACAATAGACACATTTCAACGTTGCAATAATACATCACCGTCGTATTGAAAAGTTGAACCTGTTAATAATTCATCGTTATACGACCACAATTATTTTAAAGTAAAGAAAAGCGAGGGAGGGAGTGCCTATGAATAGAGGAAAACGGTTCGAATGATTTATTACGTGGCCTCTGAGTTTTCGTCGAAATGAAAAATTATAATAGTAGTAACAGTCGAGAGTACACACAGGACCGACCGAGAGTTCAGCAACAAGCGTGCTCTTTCACATTTTTCTCTGGTCCGTTACATCATTAAAATCCTCGTTAGAGTCTCGGGGAGAGACCGGTGTAAGTGACAAAGATGAGCAAGTAAAACCGCGTAGAACCGGGTTCGTCAATAGTTAAAATTTGTACAGTACCCTCTCTCTTTAGTGTAATAACGAGCCTTTCTACTATTCTACGGGAAACCATCGCGGCCTGTGGCCTGATTCCCAGAATTTTCGCGGGACTCAATATTTGAATAAGTCGTACGTTTCTACCTGTGCTAGCAAGAGAATCTTTGCTACTAAATGTACCGTGTGACGTCACGTTGTAGCCAGCTCCTTCGGTTATGCTCGCGATGAACTGTACAAGTATACCTACGTGATACATGCAAACGCACACATGTTGGCTTTACAAAGTCCATATATCTACCCTTTC